AAATTATAGAATTCATTCCAGGTTCATATCTGTATGACATCACACATGAATCCCAACTGTCACTGTAACTTTTCCATTCTTTATATTGAGGATCGAAATGTACTCTCCAGCTAAACCTCTTTGTACAGCATTTCCAAAGTCCCCATTAAAACAACATACCCCAATAACTTACAGATAGGGAAAAAGCAGTATTCTAGCTCTTCAAAAGAGATCAAGGCAAAGAGCTCAACTGCCACTGAAGTATCCACCACCCCCACCTGATTATTTTATTAGGTAAATCAAATAGTATACTTCATGGCAATAAACAGATTACTAACCTGTAGTCATACATAGACTAATAACGTCACACACAGAAAAAGTAGTATGTAACTGTAATCCAAAAGACCAATTTTTAAAAAAAATCAAAAGAACCTGATGCCACAGAATGTAGCTTGCCAAAAATTAGCACTATTTTTTAAAAATCAAATATTCTTTATTTCAATAGGGAGTTTGGGTTACACCAGTACATACATTTGTTCAAACTGATTCAATGGCACATTAAAATTTGTACATTTCACTCTGTAAATTACATCTCATTTTTTAAAAGTCACATTAAGACATACATTTGTCCATGTATTGTGATTACTGGTCATTCAAAATTTGAAGAACCACCTGTGATAGTATTGGAAACAAATACAGTAACTAAAGCAACATTTAAACTAGGTAATCATTTATATTTTGAAAGCTATTAAGGTACTAATTTAACCTCAGAAAAACTCCTGTTAAACTCAAGGAATGATTTTTAATATAAACAGAGTAAGTGTAAAAGATGCAATTTATAACACGTGCTTCAAATTCTAGTTTTCTTTTTATTGAGTTCTTGACATTAAAACTCTTAACTATAAACATTGCCAGATAATGAGACAATCTTACTAAATGTTAATTTAGGTACAGCTTAAATACACTTTGAAACAAAATGATAGAGCTCTAAAAATAAACCAAAGTAGTAAAATCCATGTTCTCTACTACGAGTTCACAAGTATTCACTCCAATTTAAAATACAAATTAATAAAAGTTCTTATCCTTCAATCCATGGATTCAAATTGGAGAATAAAAATTACAAGCAGCTAGTTAAATAATAATACAAACAATAGGTTACTTACATTTATAGGAGAGCTTTTCGATTTCTCTATATGAGGCCAAATGCCATAAAGTAAAGGGGCAAACTATGGCTCTGCAGCATCCAATGAAAAGGTATGGGTCATGTGAGTGGGCATGATTTGACCTTGATGGAAGGTGAAAATGGTTCACAGGGAAATTCAGTTAGGAGACTCTAAAGTCAAGAGTCTAATTTGTATTATGAGGTGTTGCGCTATACCTCTCAGGTTTCATCCAGCTCAAAAATGCTACCTAAGCATCATGACATCATTCCATAACTAGGAATCCATTATAAGCCAATATTAAGCATCTTTAGTATACTTTGGATTCAGTTACCCTCTGAGTTAAAAATCACATTTCTTGTGTATCCAGTGAACTCTCTACTAAAGACATATCCAGTATAAGTGTCACCTTTGTTCTCGGGTAACAGCATTAGGACTTATTTACAGGATATCCTCAGTGCCAAAAAGCAAAGATTAAAGTTTAAGCTGCTTTTAACACTAAAGAATAAGGATTAACTAGTACTTTTCTAGAATACTTGACATTCAGAGGGCAAAAAAAACCCAAGGTAAAAACAATTCTATGTCTCTCCCATTTTCTTTATTCATGACTTCCTTATAAAAGTAGATCCCACTAATTTACTTCCTTCTAAATGATAACCTATGGTTTACCTGATGGAGATTTCATTTTCAAGAATCTTCAGTGGTGTCTGATTACTAAGTAACATTGAAAGGTAAGATCTAGAGATGACATTGAACTGTGATGAAATGCTTTCTATCTTACTATGTGAAAATGTCTTAAAATTCCCAGATAAGTAGGAAACTCTAAACCTCTCTCTCTAGCACTCCCCTTTCCCACTCAAAAAAACAAAAAAACAAAACAAAAAAAAACCCTAGATTGTTAAAATTCTTTTTATTTCCTAGATGAGAAAAATGATAGGCCCAAAGAGGTTAAGGGGCTGACCATCCCAGATCACTCAGTTAATACCACGCAGCTGATCTAGAGCTATCTATAACTGTTTTAGAGGACATTAATTCAGAGTGTCACAAAGAAAGGGAGGGTTGTAACAGAAATACAGTAATTTTAATTGAACTCTCAGAGGCCCATTCACAAGGCCCAAGGATTTTAGTTTCTTAAAAATATCAAGAGACAAGTCATCCTCTCATTCTTGCTCTTTACACTGGATGCTGTGCCTCTGGGTAACAATAGCAATCTTTAATAAGGCCCTTACAATGTATGTAAATGTACGTAAGGATCTGATTAGGCAGGTCTGCTTTGGAGGTCAGGAATTCTCAGCACCTTTTAAAGGATATGTCAAAGTATACTGAAGAAAATTGGGGCGGGGGGGGGGGAGGGCGCAGGGCAGTAGGTGTAAATGCAGCAAAATCTAAATTTTTAAAATTAGTTTCAACACTTCTAAAACAATGGATAACACAGATTACCTTAATCTAGCGCAAGTCAATTTAACTATTTACCAAACAAATATTTAATGAGCGTATATGATATGCAGGTGATATGGAAATAGCGGGGAACAAACTGAGGGGAACGGGAAGATGCTGCCACCCAAGTAAAGACTCAGGGAAGTCTTTCTCACCCTCAGCAGAAAAAGTCCTCTCACACTTAAAAGCCAATGAATCACTTTTATGTCTACGTACTGAATCTTCCACTCCTAAAGCAAATTTACTCACTCCGCACCCTCATCCCATTACTACACTCTGCCTGAGACTACGCCCATGAGCCGGGCTGTATTCCCGGATGCCTGCCCCAACCAGTTCACCAAGCTCTCCTCCTCAGAGCCGGTCCTGAAATGCCATCTCCTCTCCCCAAAGCCTCAACTTGAAGGCCCGGTTCATCTCTTTAGCTCCACCCACTGACAGTATATATTGTAACCACCACAACTCCACACACAACTTATAAATAATAGACGCCTATAATTTACAAGTGAATTTCCTTTATTCGTTGCTTGTTCAGTATATTAACTATTGCCCTTGTTGGTATATACCAGCGTTATCCTTAAATAAAAGCTACCGGATAAAAAGGACATGTATTTAATTTGGATTTAGTACTGAAAACGCCAGATGCTCTCCCCGTCCTTTTTTTTTGCTTAATGCTTTTTGAAAATGACTTCGAATATACTAAATTCAACCTGATTTGTGAAATTTATAAACTCTCCCACCATGGATGAATCTAAAAAGCATTATGCAAGTGAGAGAAGCCAAACACAAGCGTTACCTCATATATGACTGCATTTACAAGAAATTCTAGGAAAGACTAGTGATGAAAAGCAAATCAGTGGGGGCCAGGGATGGAGAGATTACACGCAAAGGGAAAAGAGTTTTACATTTTTAGGCTAATGCAAGTGACCATTTCTTTGAGACAGAATGAACTAGGTATTTTAATCAGAATTTTCATTCTTCCACAATAACAAATTTTTACTTTCCCACAAAGCGTTTTTTTTTTAAAAAAAAAAAGGGATGGGAATCATAATGTACTTTCACTTACAACTAATGGAACATTTTATCATTCAATTTCTCCGTTTAAAATGTCTGTCAGCATTGGAAATTGTAAAAAAAATAGTGTTACTTTGGTTGTTTCCACATCAGAATGAATGCATGTAATCTGGTTCCTAAGTCAAGATTTGAGAAATACAAACCGAAAACAGAGAAAGAGGTTACAGTCAATACTAACCCCACTTAATTCTCAACTATCTCTGGATCTTTTTATTTTTGAGTAATTGTTGAAAAATCGCTGTTTTAAGCTATATTTTACTTTCTATTCTAGGAAAAGACTCTTTAATCTCAAAAGGCAAACTATTCTAAAACCCTTTACACATTTCAAGGAACCTAGTCTGGCTGATTATTTCTTATTCTATTACTATTACTATTGTACTTGCTTTTACACCTCCCTCACAAAGCCACAATTTCCCTGATGTGGCCGACAAGTTCCTGACCAAGTAACTCAACAGGTTAAAGTTACTTATCCAACTGCGGTTTAGTGATTAAGCTTTCTTTCAGGACAACCGAGACCTGAGTCAATTTCTACAGTGCTGCAAACCGCCTCTGCCACCGCCCATAAAAATTTAGTACACAGACCGAAGCGTAGCCAACAGTGCCATGCTCGGAAGGGTAATTAACACCTTTAAAAAGATTCTGAAGGATTCTGCAGAGTATAATTTAATAATTTCACGTCGCATCTGTTGCAAAGATCACAGACTGTCATTCTGCCATCTCCTTCCTCGGACCCCATCACCGCCTGCAGCTTTATTCTCCTTTTCATAGGTTTAATCCACTCAGGGCTGCTAAAGGCGGAATCAAAGGAGCTTCCCTTGTGAACCCAAGCAGAGAAAAGGGCAAGAAAATGCGGTTGAGTCACGTCGTTCCGCCATTTTCTAAGCGGAGGAGGAAGACATGTTGGAACAAAAACACAACAAAAGAGCAGCCATTTCCCAAGCCGGCTCCAATGGCAACCCGAACCGCCGGGGCCGGCCGCCTCGGCCCCTTCAAATGCGCCCCGCCGGACACACCGAAGGACATCAGAGGCGCCCGAGGGGAAGAAAGCAGCCGCCAGCCCTTCCGGGTGGGGATCAAAGATGACCTGCAGGCTTAACGCAAAGGAAAGCCTCGGGACGGTCGTCGGAAGCCAAACGGAGCAGCCTCTGTCACACTGAAATTCTAAACTAAGTTGGCCAACTGAAATCCACTCAGTGACGGTGGTGACTTACGGTTCAAAGGAAACCACCGGCTAAGGCGGCCCAGGTAATCACACGCCAAGCCCCGGATGCAGGCGGTCCTGCCCGCGGCCTCTGCCCGTTCCCCCGTCCCGTCCTTTCCCCACAGCATCGCCTAGAGCTTCTGGGTTCTTACCGTATGTGGGGGATGCCGACCCCACCCTGAAGGATCTTATAGAGTTTGCTCTCGTACAGCAACTGGGGATGCCTGGCCTTCTGAGATTCTAGCTTCACTGCCACTTCCTGCAGGGGAAAGAGGGGATAATGGCATCAACATCTGTGGATTCAATGTCACTTGGGAACGGAGGGGAGACATTAGCAAAGCTCCCACTCGCGACTAGAAAGTGAGAGGCCGGGAAGAGAAAGCTCTCTTTGTAATTACAAAAGGAGGCTCCAGCCTCAGAGGCCTCTTCAGGGGGTAGTGACGAAATCGGCACGTCCTCTAAAGTGCAGGAAAATAATTCATCCAGGAAACATAAAGAAGAAATCAAGCGATCGGATACCCTCCTAATTGGAACAAGAAGCCCACTAGGATGGAGATAGATATATATACACATATATATACACACACACACACACCCCCATAAAATAACTATAATATACATTATAGGTAGTATATATATGTAAACTAAGGGGGGGTCATAGAAATAGGATTCTGCCGTTTTCACCTTAAACGACGGTTAAAAAAAAAGTTGAGAGTACATTTTTAACGAACTGGGGAACTTCCCAGTTTATCCATGCTTTCTATCGTGTTCTTTTCCTTTTAGGGAAAGAGCGTGAGAGAGGTTCCTAAGCCAAGAAAACTGGCTCCTCTGGACTCCCCAGTGCGTTCGGTGGGAAAAGGCCCGAGCAGTTGTGGGGGGCGGGGGGTGAGAGACAGGAACAGCGTAGTCGTGAACCCCACCCCGGGTGATTACCTCGCCATTGGTGATGTTGATCGCCAGATAGATGTCCCCGAAGGAGCCAGACCCGATCTTCCGTACCAGTTTATATTTCCCTCCGACAATGAATTCGGCCTTGGAGCCGCTGCTGCTCGCCATCCTGAGAGACGAAGACGGAGGCTGGGGCCAAGCCCCGACACCTCTTAGAGGAGGACAGAGGCCTCTGTGATCGTCCCCTGAGCAAGGCTGCGGAGGAGGGCGGCAGGAAACGGAAAACGTTGGCTTTTGGCGTCACAGGGCCCAGAATCCGCCAAAGGGAACCTGATCACCGCCGCTCAGTCAGATTGTTTTGTTTTTTTGTTTTTGTTTTTTGTCAGGCCGCAGTTTGTGAGGGGTTCTCGCGGTTCCCAGGCTGGGCCACTTGTTTCTGGGCGGCCGCCGCTGCCACGCTTTCGCGGCGACGTCGCGGGCTGGAAAAGGGGCGCGGTGAGTTAGGGCGGTGATACCGCTGCCACCACTGCCGCCGGCTCCCGCCCGGAGGGACCCCTGTCACTCCGCCGACGCCGCCATCTTGTTACTCCGGCTCCAGCCAACGCAAAATGCCCCCAGTCCCCGGGAGCCGCTTCTTCACGGCGCAGAGCACTCTGGGAAAGGGATCTCAGGCGCTAGCCCCGGAGGGTCGGCAGCAAGGAGGGCGGAACAGGACCGGCGAATGTCGCGGCCCACGCTCCGAGCGTCACTCCGTCACCGCCCAACTGCTCATGCGTACTGAAGTCCTGCTGACTGCGCAGGCGCGCCGAGGCCTCTCACCATCCCCGTCCCGGGCTCATTTCCACTTCCGGTCGTAGGCTGTTCTGCTGTTGCTACCTGTTTGTCAGTTACCTCGGGTTCGCTGGGTCCCTGAAAGGCCCTGCGTCCCTAGGCTTCCAGAGCAGTTAGAGAGGCGTCACCTGCATTTTTCTCGGAAGGTGGAAGCTTCAGGTCTTGGAGTTGGGTATTGACCTTTGCTCTTTGTTTGAGGCGGTTTTAAATCTTTGATCTTTCCACCACTCCCCGCGACCGGCCTATTCCAGCCCAATTTTTGTTTCGAAAGAAGTTGTCGCCTCTGGCGGAAAGGAAGAGAAAAGCAGCCCAGGGCTGGTTGGGTTTGTTAAGGGCTCTCGATTTTTGCAAAATCTAGCTGATTAGTTATAATTAGATTCCTGCTCTCTACGGAATGTTGGAGACCCTCTTTTTACCGGAGGGGAAAAGAGAATTACCTTGTCTCCCGAGGTTTTGCCCCACTGAAGAACCTAATATTACTGGCAGATATAGTCAACAGAAAATAAAATTTACAACCGTGAAAAAAACTGCACGTAAAAGTTGTTATATCCGACCCACTCCCAGAAAAACCCTGAGGAATCACATCTTAGTGTATTGAAAACTGCAGCATTTGACTCAAAAACAGGATAGAAATAACTATTACAAAATAAAATTGACAGCGTTTAAAACTTTTACACAGTAAAATTTTTTACTATAATTTTATTAAAGAATCAAACCTTGATCATATTTTGGTTTACAAAACTTGACCTGGGAAAATGGTTTTTGGTAGTAATCATGATCACGACAGGAAATGTAGTTGATGCTATCATCTGTAATATCAATCAAAGGCTGTGAATGAATTTAACCCTAATGAATCAAACCTGTTGTAAAAATTGCAACAGAAAAACCTATCCCAAAGTAATTCCATGAAATGGAAATGGAAAAAAATGTAGACTTAACTGCAACTTTGAAAACTGATCAAGTAATTAGTAATGGAGTTTATCCCGGAAGATATTTTAACTAAAATTCTTCCATGTTACTGTAATTCTGACTTAAATATTTGCATTAAACCTCTATCATTTTAAATGTCTTGAATTTGAAAATGGGAAGAGACTCTCCTAAGGATGAGCATGAAGTTTTGAGGCCCTACCAAAACCCAGGCTGCCTGCCTCCCAAATCAACACTACGAGACATTTCCCCTTTGGTGCCTCTAAAGCATATTTGGCCTACTTGAAAATTTCTGCTGTTAGATTCTGGTTTTTAAAAAAAACAAAAAACAAACAAGTGTAAGCCACCCAATACTTAATGGATTCCTCAGCTTTTGGAGCTCCCTATAGAGAAGTGAAGTGGACACTTAAAGGGAGTTTTGGGTGAGGATACAAATGCTGGATTGGGAATGAGGGGGTAGAGGTGTACATGGAATAGACTAGATTACGGATGTCCCAAGGTCTGTGCTTGAACAGTGGTAAGTCTAACAAAGGTTTCCGCAGAGATATTAGAAAAATAAGATGCAGTGTATTTAAAATAAAATAAAATGCAGTGGAATGCATTTTTCCCTTCATTTATCTGATTTTAAATTGTACTTTATTCTGAGATTTTATCTTCCTATGTATGGGTCATTAAAATGCCCTTTTGTATTTTTATTTTATTTATTTTTTATCTTCACCCAAGGACACGCTTAGTGATTTTTAGAGAGAAGGAAAGGGTGGGAAAAAGAGAAGGAGGGAAACATCGATGTGAAAGAGAAACATCAATCAGTTGCCTCTCCAGGACCGAACCTGAAACCTGGACATGTGCCCTGACTGGGAATCGAACCCATAACCTCTCAGTTTACAGGATTATACTCTAACCAACTGAGCCACACTAGTCAGTGCATAAAGTGCCCTTTTATAAAAATGGTACTAGTGGTAGGTAGCTCTGTTTTATTGTTTTATTAATATTGTTATTTGGCAAAATTAAAGTTGACATTTTATCAGCCCTCTTTTCTTTTCTTTTTTTTAAATATGTATACGCTTTGAAATTCCACACTCTGGGACTCACTAGTTTAAATGACTTCTAGAAGCCCTTCCAGCTGAGATTCTATGGTTTTGTGTCTATATTTGGTGTGTCTCCTCATTTGTTTCCAGCCCACTGTAGCCACTATTCCAGCACTGACAATACCCAGTGAAATGTACTAAAATGCTGAATGGTCATAGCCTTTTCAAATGTGATTTCAGTTGATTCCATCTTATGATTTAAATTTGTCAGATTTAAGAAGGACAAAAGTTAGGGTTTTTTAACCTAGAAAATGAAGTTTTTAGGCTTCGATTATGACTCAGCCTTTTCCTTAAAATCATGTATCATTTGTAGTAACTTTCAGCCTCAGCAGTTGAAGAATTACTTGTTCTAGGTGCTGCTATTTAAAAGTTACAAGTCATTCTGTACTTACTGAACCAGCAGCAGCTTTAGTGTAATGGAAGGAGTCTTTTGAAATGTGGCAAGATGCAAGTCCTAACTCGTGGATCAGATGAATTCACCAACAAATATAATCAGAAGTATAGGATAAAAATGTTAGACTTTGAGGGAAATATCACATCTAGTTCAATAATATTTTTAAATGCTTTGCAATTTACAGAGTGGTTTCACACATATCACTTGTGCCCTACTAGGACAAAGTGGCTTGTCCAAGATTATACAGATTTAGAAGCAAAGAAAGGACTACAACCCCAGCCTCTAACCAAAAGAAAAAGAAAAGGGAAAGGATAGGATGCACATTGGAACAACCATGCCACAGTGATTACTTAGGTGTTCATAGAGAGAGCGAGATGAATTGAAAAAAAAATTTTTAAGCCATGGTGTTTACCCAAGAAAAGGTCACTAGTAACCAGAGTATGTTTTGAGTAAAATGATAAGGACAAGCACAAGACGTATAGATGGAGGCTGTAAGGAGGAAAATAAAACACAAGTGTGGCCTGCCAATCTCTAGAGCTGTTTGGTGCAAATAAGTAGGAAAAAATGGAATGTCTTAGAATATATCACTGTCTCAGGTGTAGTTTAACTGTTACACAGCCAAGTATATAATCAGTTATCAGATAAGTTAGTGAGTGGAATGATGGAAAATGCGAGAACATCAGAAATGTCCTTTTGGGTCAGAGTGATAATTCATTCAGTCTGTTTTCCAGTCACTGACAGCAATTTCTGTGTCCCTTTCTTGTCTCAGTTCCTGTTCTCACCTCTGCTGCTGTCTCAGGAGGTTTTGTGAAAGTAGGCTGCTGCGTCCATGATAACAACTCCGAACACATTTGAGATACTCTATAAACATTTCTTACTTTCTATGTAGTCAGTAATCATAAATTTATTTCAATTTAATTCTTTGAACTTATGCTTTTGACCCACAAGACTCTAAAGATTGGTAAGTTCCATGTATATGCTACCCAATGATCCTTATTTTTTTTTTTTTAAGATTTTATTTTATTTATTTTTAGAGAGAGGGGAAGGGAGGGAGAAAGAAAGGGACGAAACATTGATGTGCAAGAGAAACATCAATCAGTTGCCTCTCCCACACCCCTAATTGGGGACCTGGCCTGCAATCCAGGCCTGTGCCCTGACTGGAATCGAACCCTGTGACCTTTTGCTTTGTGGGAAGACACCCAACCCACTGAGCCACACTGGTCAGGGCCGCAATGGTCTTTTAATAATCACGTGTACATACAAAATGTTTACTGTTCTTTTCCTTATAAAAGTGACAAATATTCACTTGAAAAAATTAGGTAAATCAGAAAAAAAAAACCCAAAATCTGTTAACATATTTAATTTTATTTCTAAAAACTTGTAACAAATAGTCCTAGTGCACATTCAGTTTTGAGACATGTTTTTTTCATTTAATGATTTGTTGGAGACATGTTTCCATATGAGCTATCTTCCAAAATATTTTAAGTGTCTATATGTTAAATATGTATAGTATTGATGGAACAACATTTAACTAATCCCAATTGAGAATTCCAGTCATTTTCAAACTTTTACTAGTATAAACAGTGCTTTAATGAATATTCCTGTACCTAAGTCTCTGCTGGTATCCAAAATTAATTGGTTAGGATACATTTCTAGAAATGCTACTGGTCTTAAAGCCCCCTTGTATGATAAACAACAACAACCGATTCTGTTTTGGCACAGTTTGTGATGATTTAACCCATATTCATGTACTATACTATTTTTCTTAAATTTATCTTCAAATTTAAACCCTAGTCCTTCCATTTCTTAAAAGTGGTTGTTAGATTTTCTTTTCTGATGAACCATTGTTGTAAAACCTAATAAACTTAGAAGAGCTCTTTGCAACTCCCCTATTCCCTTCCCCACACATTTCAAAATCTCAAGAATTTTGCAAGTCTGTGGTTTGCAAATGAAAATGTCCCTTTTGTGGACACAGCTAACAAGACACATTTGTTGACCAGTAGTGAAACAATTGTGTTCTACAGATATTTAGATTTAGTTGAAGAAGGAGGGAGGGATTAGTTTCCTTTAAGAGGTCAAAGGACCCTTAAAATCAAGAATATAGTTAATCAAGTATGAAAAACTGAATAATCTCATATATGTTCAAATCTCGCATATTTTGCATGAGCTCAAGTATTCCCACAGAAACAATGTTTATTCCCACAGAAAGAGATGTGTGCGGTCTTCGAGATGGGGAAGATCAATTTGTCACTGTTCAAAACTCAGATTAACTCAGACTTTACCTCAGAAATCTTTTCATTTTAAAAAATTTGTATATATTTTTAGAATTTTCACCCAAGGACACACTTACTGATTTTAGAGAGAGTGGGAGGGAGAGAGAGAGAGGGAGAGAAACATCAATGCGAGAGAAACCCATCAATCAGTTACCGCTCGTACATACTCCAA